TATTCTTCACACTCTGACGACTTCGCGTGGACCATCGCCAATTATTTCCTTGGCTTGGCATGCTTCCTCATCGAAACAAAAGTCAGATATGCTAGCAACCCAGTCATCGAATGGCGATCTACGAGTTTGGAGCGTGGCAAAACCACCAGGGAAAGAGTCACCTCGAGTGATTAGGGTATTGAAACGATCCGATTCAAACTCATCTGATCCTAAATGGATGGGCTGGTCAAAGAACGGAAGACTCGTGCAATATTTGGAAGGGTATAAAACCCTTCGAGAGGATTACTAGGAAGCGGCTGACATTTAATGATAGGGAAACATGGTCTTGGGATGTTCGAACAAAACATGTTACCTACGATCCAATTCCCACAATCGACGGTGTGCGAGGCATTGCAAACTACGGTCCTACGGCGACTCTATTTACCATTGGCCCTCAACACTCAGTCCAGCAGTATGATTTGGAAAATCCCGCAATAGTTGCAAATGTGCAACACCTTCCAATCATCCCCAGGCCTAGCACAGCGGAAGGCAGTCGAGCAAAAACTATGTCCCCACGCCGCTTGCAAGACCCCCCTGACATCCGAGAACCACCAGGCGCCGCCAGACGAACGCCATTTGATGCAACCAGCATCGAAAATATCAGACAGAGGGCAGATCTGACGAGCCCTGCATCATCGCGCAGTCGGACGGAATCGGTGAGCTCAAAGGCTTCCTCTGGGAAGTATAATATCAGACCGTTCTCTCCGCCGAGTCGCTCTGGTCAGAGTGCTACAACATTTTCAATGACATCGGCTGGCCGTGATACACCACAAGCTTCGGCTTCATTTGCGTATCCCTCCTCGGTCTCAATGTCATCTGTGAGAAGCTCGAGGGCGGCATCACGATTGCGGAATGAGGTTCATCTCAGCCCTGCTGATAAGAATATTGTGGATCTATTCCCGTTCACTCGGGCTCGATTGATTGATGTGCCCTACAAACAGCAGCCGCCTATCGATGAGGCAAATCTAACCTCGGATGATCTTCGGCTGCAGATGCTGAGCGTGGTTTTTGGCTGGGATGGAGACATCCAAGATCTGATCACAGATGAGTGTATGTATTACCCCGTATATCCTCTGTCTTCAAGACATCGTTTGACAATTATTAGTGAGCCGCCACGCTATGGGTAGCCAAAGCGCTATTCTCTTAACGCAATGGCTTGGTGAGAACGACACAGATGAAATGGCCGCGATAATTAGCTCTGGGCAGGTAACAACTTCCGACTGGATGATTCTTGCAATGAGCCAGATGAGCGGCCAAGGGCAGGCAAATAAGGTCGGAGAGGCATTTGTACAGAAGCTGCTTGAGATCGGGGACATACACACCTCAGCCGCAATCTTGCTTGGTCTTGGAGATAAAAACGACGCCATCGAAGTTTATGTCTCTCGCAACCACTTCATGGAAGCTATCCTCATGACATGTCTCCTGTTCCCGTCGGACTGGCAGCGCCAGTCATATCTCGTTCGTCGATGGGGAGAACATGTCGTTACCCACTCCCAACAACAACTCGCCATTCGCTGTTTCATGTGCACGGGAGCGGAACCATCAGATCCATGGGCATCTCCATCTGTCCAACAAACTTCATCTTTTGCAGAGATGGTCCGCGCGTCTCCTCTCGCCTCGCCCGAACCTTCGCAAGCCAATATGATATCACCACCGGTCCGCCCAAGATCTACATCTAACTCGAAACCTACAGTGAAAGCCCCGGCCTTGAAGCTCATTACTTCCTTCGATGGACAGCCTGGGCGTTTCCGCTTCCCTGGTTTGAAATCCGATGATCGCACGCCAACAAATGCACCTGGAATCACTCCCATTGCTGAATCCGCTGTTCCAGAGTCGGCAATGTCCCCTGGTGGATTTGGCTCTTATAAATTGAACAATATCCAAAGTCTGAACCATGCAATGACTTCTCGAACAAACACTCCTGCTTTCAATCGGCGTCGTCTACCCTCAATAGGAGAGACACCAGTGGATGTCCACCCTCCAAGCTTTTCGCGGTCAAATTCCTACAGCCAGAATGAGTATAGCTCCACCTCAGAAAACGAACGCGAACAGAGCCAAGACGAGAAAGAGAGCAACACCGGGTTCCTCACCCTGTCAGCCGCTAAATACAACCCCGGTCTAGACTCTCTCAAGCCCAGTCCTCAGACTGCTGTACAAGGGACAGACAAGTTTGCCGCAATAAAGGGGCTTCCCTCACCGGCTGCCGGTGTATTTGAGGCTCTCACAAATGATGATCATCGTAACGGGTCCCGAGATCGAAAACCAGACGGCCTTCAAATCGAGACATTGGAAGGTGAACGAAATCCGCAGGACCGCTCCGATTTGATTCCCAGCGCCAAAAGCACCGCTTCGACATCGAATTCCTACGCTTCGGCTAGGAGCCCGAGTGTCAGTGGCCGTAGTATCGATCAATACATCAGTAGTCTTGATGAAGCAAGCTACCATGCGCGGAAGCTTCGTCCACATACCCCGGGCCGTGGAAGACGAAACGCAGACGACACTGCCAGTCAGAGCTCAAAAGTCAATCAAGTGCGTGAAACCTCTCGAGATACCCGCGGTATGAGTGAGCGTCGATATATTCAACCCGCCAAGCGCTCGCCTTCCTCGCCGGTACCTATGTCTCCGGAAGAGTTAGCTAGATACCACACTGGAGGGTCTGAAAAGCCATTTGAAACACGGAAGTCGAAGTCTCGCACTAGAAGTTCTAGCAAGGTCAGAGGGTCGGCTTCTCGGAATCGTCAGCGCTCTTCAAGTCGACACGCTACAAGCCGCATCGGTACAGACAAGCGAGACGCCTCAAACCGGGGCCGCAGCAATGACCGACAGGGATCCGGCATTCGATCACCATCATCGCCTCTTCCTATGGCATATCCCACAGAAGGGGCATCTCAGGACCTCGATAACCCTTTGAGACTTGTCGAGGGTAACCAAAAAAGACTGCGATCTCGCCACCGAAGTGCCAGTCGACGTCGCACTGAAAAAGGAACAACTTCCAAAACAGACGGATCTTCAGAAACCAGACACAAAACATCGCAAAGTCTTTCCGTGATCCAACCGGGACCTACATCAGACCCCTGGGCGCAGGAGTCATCGGTGCCGGAGCAGCTGAGCAGCAAGGTCTTTGGCCAAGAAGACACATCCAATGGGTACTCTAATGGACAACCAAGTTCGACAGCCCATGATTTCCAAGAGATCGTACCCCCAAGAACACCATTTGTCACCCTTGCGGAGAGAAAGCGAAGAGAGATTGCCGCTGCTGAATTGGAAGCACGAAGATTGTCACTCGCCCGCAACCCATCAGCACCAAACATCCCCTTCCCGGGCGAACTGCAAAGCGCAAGAAGCCCGGTTGAGGGTTCCCCGCCTTTCTCTGGTACAAGCTCATACTTCCAACGGGCTCCATCGCGGAACAAGATGAACCAAAACAAAGTATCTACCGATTATCCCAGCAGTTCTGACTCGAACTCTTCGCGCTCAGGAATGCCCAGCGGGCTCCCAGCAACTCCTCGAGCCATGCGGCATCCCAAGTACGGAGGAACTGGACAAGACGAAGAGCGACCTCCCTCTGTGCCCATCATTCCCACAGACAACAGTTTCTTCCTTAGCAATGCTCGGTATCAAGGAGATGCCGCCGAGAGAATCGGACGATCGATGTCCGTCCCAGTGCCAGAATCACAATACAACGCCCTTTCAATGCCCAACGACCTCCCAATGCATCCTCGCTTTAACCCAGCCCTCCCCCGAAGCCGGTCCAGCAGCCGCAGCCGCGCAAAGGGCCATAACCGCACCAGCTCAAGCGGCTACGTTTCCGGCACCTCCCCTAGCGTCCAAGTGAGCATCGAAGAGACAATTGAGCACGCAATGCAGAGAGGACCCTCAGAACACTACGAGACAATCCCCCCTCCACCGCCGCCGCCCATCCTCCCAGAACTGCAGCATCTCAACACCCCACCCCCACCACCCCCATTCCCACCCTCCACAGTGCCCGTCTCGCCCCGCGAGTCATCCGCGACAATCGACATCGCCATCGACAATAACGAGGACTTCGGTCGTCTGCTCCCTCGCGCCATGACTGCCGCCCCAGCTCTCAATGGAAACAGTCACGGGATGGACTCCCGTCAGTCGGGTAGTCGGATGTCTTTCGACCATCGCCGAAACCGCAGCTCAAATGAGAGCTTCACGAACAAGCTGCGCAGCTTGACTCGTATGCGCAACAACAGTCGCAGTGTCGAGCCTTGGACGCAGGCTCATGAGGCCGAGATGGCTCCCTATGAGAGTCTGAACTCGCATGTTTCTGGTTCAAACCCGAACTATATTCTTCCGAGTCAGAGCTATGTCGCGCCGGGTTCGAACTATGTTTAAGCCCGTTAGGGCTTGACTGGTTGACGAACGAGAGTTCCTTTTTCTTATATATCTTTTGCTGGTGTTTTTTTTATAGTTCTTTTCTCCTCCCTTTGCATCATGAGCCCCCGTTTTTGATTTTCTTTTGTTTCTATCATGAAATTGCAATGTCCTGGATTTCAACGCATCACGCATCATGTCTTTACTGCCCATTGGCTTTGGTTTGATCTTACCCGTGTTTTAAGGCTCATACCCTCTCTCGTTCTGCTTGATATTTTCCGAGTTATATGCCCCAAGTTATATTCCAAATACCATATCCTGTCATCAGCCTTAATCCCATGGTTGATTGAATGCACGATTTCCTAGTCTCTGGTTTTCATATTTTCCTTTTCAAGATTGTAGACAGCGATGTCTCTAAAAATCTCGTTTCCATTAGTTTATACTCTCTTGTTCAGGGTCACCATAGCTAAACATACATGCCTGCAAAGGCTTAATGATAAAGGTATCAGTTGTTTCTTACTTGAAGATGTTTTGATATGGAAGTAGATATCTGGAGGCTGAAAATGACATAGTTATACATGCAAAGATAGATGTAAAAAAGGGTCGAGAGATTCTCAAGATCACCAACCTCGGTTTCGTGATCCTTCGCCGCCAGCGTTCCTCTCGGCTTCAATCATGCGATCAAACTCTGCCTGTGCTTGATCCCTCTCAGTCTTCTGGCCGGAGTCGTACCTTTCTTGATCACTCTGGCCAAACTCGGTAGAGTAAGGATTCACTGTAGACTGTGACACGGCGGGCTGCTGTCGAGACTGGAGGCGTGCTCCATTATTCTGTCGTCTGATCCGGTCCCAAGCACTGCCATTAGATGACCCGTCGATGTTTGTATTCCGGTATTCCACCGCTGTAGGGCTAGCATCATCCTCATCCATGAAATCCAAAGCTGATTTTGATTCAGGTTGAGTGCCCCTGCCGCGTGCCCAGATTGCACCAGCATTCAAACCCGATGGAGACGACTCATATGAAGCAGACTGGGAGCTTCCCTTGGTATCATTGGAGCTCACATATTCAGAATAAGAATTTGGTTGCGCCTGAGAATCATAAGACGTCTGCTCTTGTTCGTACTCGTTGCTGCCTGCATATCCAGCAGGTGTGCCGATGACCTGCGTGCCAATATCTTGCTCACCACTGCGCTTGCTGCGAATGCGCTCATGAGCAGCCTCGATCTTGCGCTTGCGCACATCCTCTGGCTTCGCTTTGCGCACGTCCTCGACAAACTGCTTCATTCGTGGGTCCGTCAACATGTGCATGGCATCTTGCGAAACTGCATACGCGCTCGATGCCATGCTGCCGAGGGTAATGATAAAGAGCATTTTGAATGCCGCTGATCCAATATTTCCCCTGAGGGTCGCATCGGCAGCCATGTTCCGCACCGTGTTGAAGAGTGCTGCTGGGGTGGGATTGCGCGGGAAGAGCGGTGACTTGCGTGCTTGGCTGTAGAGGAGCGCTGTTCCGAGGAATGAGCTTACGGGTAAGCCCGTCCGCGCGTGGTACAGGCATCGCGTTCCATGCTCAACCATGGCATCAAATTCATCTTGGGTCGGGGGTCGTTCTGTCAGCACGTAGTGGTTCTCCACTCGCTCAGTCACTGTTTTGGCGACCTTTTGTTTCCAGACTCCTGTGCCGAAAAATCCAAAATACAATGTGAAAAGATCAGGTCTCACAATTGCCTCTGGCCGGAGTTTGACATGGTTATATTTCGCGAGCGCAGGGTTGCGGATAGAGGGAGATGAGGAATTGTTGTTATATGCCTGGTTTGCCTGTGGCGAGGCATCGTCGGAACTCATGGTGAATATCACGGGTGTTGAGAAAGGTTGGAGTGAGGGGTGAGAGCTCTGGGGAGCTTGGTGGTGCCGTTTTCTGGAACCCCAGACGGTGACGTTATGGGATGACTCAGCTGCATAAAATCGGGGCACCTTAGGTACCTCCGAGGTCCAGTCTACTACTTTAGATATTTGAGATTAGGGAACGATGCGTATAATTTCAAGCTCAAATATCCCATTTGAATTTCACTCGCTTGATAAGATACAATCTCAGTAAATGCACATGTGGCGATGATGCATTCTTACTATCTTCGTTCTGCAGATGGTGCTCTTCTGGGTTGACTGATCGAGTACGATGCCTCAGAAGAATTAAGAAAGTCTGAAAACCCCCCGACACACACACCTACCACTTCTCAATATAAGGTCGCAGGTCCAACTCAAACGCAAATGTCGTGCGTGGCTGAGTATGCAAATACCAGTATGAGTCCGCAATCTATAACCAGTGAGTGTCCGAGATAAACCAACCAATCAAACCAAACTTACAGCGTCGGGACTTAACTTCGCATCTTCATGCTCAAACACCCAGGATTTGGTACGAGGGATATCAATGACACCGTCAAGAATAGTGTGCGAGACATGTATGCCCTGCGGTCCAAACTCACGAGCAAGTGACTGCGCCAACGCACGCAGTGCAAACTTGCTAGAAGCAAAAGCAGCAAACTTGGCTGAGCCCTTAATACTAGCAGTAGCTCCCGTGAAGATCAGGGTGGGCGGATGCTCCGACGATTCACGAGCTTGTAGGAGCAGCGGAATAGCCCGTTGGGCAAAGTTGAAGGCGCCGTGTCTGATATGGGGGTCAACAATTCAGTAAAATCCCTCAGAATAATGTGAACTGTATCAAGCCTGGAATGGAGTGGATCAGGTAGGTACAAAAGACAGCAGATACGTACGCCTGTGACCTGAGTGCAGTCGAGTAATCGTCTTCCGTCAGCTCGAGGAATGGCTTGACCACCAGGCCGCCACCTGTATTAAAGACGGCAGCAGCTACCTTTGAGGAAGGATAATGCGCTTGGATCTTATCAAATGCGTCATTGACGCTCTTCGAGTCGGAGACGTCAGCGCTGATGCCGATGGCCTGGCCGCCGCTGGAATTGATTTCTTGAACAACTGAGTTATAGTTGTCTGGGTTTCGAGCCAGAACTACAACCGAGTAGGATTTCGCAAATTTCCTGGCGATTGAGGCGCCCTGTCTCTTTTGTCAGCTAATCATGTCTTATATGGAGCTAGGAAGGGGAATGTAGACTATACCGTGCCAGGGCCAACGCCAGCAATGATCGCAAGTGTCTTGGAAGCCATGTTTGATCTAATAAGTATATGAATATTCTCTCTGAAAGTCGAGGCGAAATGAATGAATCTAAACAACTATATAATGGCCTTCGGGCCGGAAGATATCCCCGAAGCTTAGAAATGCAGCGGGGATTGATCATCGTATCCGCAGATGATATCATCTGCAGAGGACAGGACTGGTGTATCCCACAAAAGATCACATTCAAGGGTAAATTAGGCCATTAGCTGATGAATAATCCTAGTAATAACGCATTCCATCGTCTATCTCTGTAGCTTCTTGGAGAAACTAAGGTTGTTGGCGAAATGTGATTCTGTATGGAGTCCAGATCTCTGCCTCAGGCGGTTATCGATAAGACAAATAAATTTCCCATCAAATCTCCGACTCTCCAACTCTCTAACTCCGCAACAATCACCATGGCCGACTCAGATCCCTTGCTGAGTGATCTCTGCTCAATTTGGTATGCCCATGAAACTACATACCGGTATACCTGGAATCTAATCTGTGTCGGTATAGCCATGTCAATCCTCCCAAATACCGCTGTCCACGCTGCTCAACACGCACCTGCTCTCTACCCTGCACACGTCGTCACAAACTCTGGTCCCAATGCTCCGGGGTGCGCGATCCAGCTGCATATCTCAAACGCAATGAATTAAACACCGAATCTGCGTTTGACCGCGACTTTAATTTCATCACCGGCATCGAGCGCAGCCTCGAGCGCGCGGAGAGAGAAGTTGATAACCGCGGGATTGATCTTACTGGCGGTCCCCAGGCCGATGACGGTAATCCCGAAGGCTTCCAGCATCCGGTTGCTGGCCGTAAGAGGAAGCACCCGAACCAGGGCCTTGCCAAGGGCGAGGCTGCGTTCTTGCGCGGTACCGAGACTGCTGGTGTGAGAGTGCTTCGAGCTCCGAAGGGGATGTCGAGGAATACACAGAATGGATCGCGTTTACATCCCAAGTGAGTTAGGAATTTCTCGTGTCTTTTGGTTCAGACATTGTACTGACTTAGGTGTTTCTCAAGGCATAAGCGTCTTGCTTGGACCATAGAGTGGATTACGGATGATGGGGTCAAGACTATTCGTGACTCTGTCATTGATTCCTGTTCTGTCGCCGAAGCCTATAACCGATGCTGCCCACGCCCGAAGGATCAAGAGCCAGTCATCGAGCCAGTTGAGAGAGAGAGAAAAAGAAGATTTGGACACCCCTAATACAACTATCGCTGCACCCGGTGATCCTGCCACTACAAGGATTGAAGCAGTAGATACAAAACCACCAACATTTCCGATTAAAGACCCAGCAAAAGAGCCAGCGGATGTCTCAACTGAGCAGACAGATAAAGCACCAAATCAGACCATCGCCCCTCACCGTGGTCTTTACTTCTACCTTCACCGTCCGCGAACCACAACCAAAAAGCCCGTTTTAATTCCTCTTTTACAATCCTCCACGCTCAATACTGTTCTGCGCAATCGGACTGTCCTAGAATTCCCTACGATTTATGCACTGCCAGAGTCAACGGGGACACTGTTTGCAGACAAAGATAACTCCAAATTTATACTGGAGGAAGACTATCTTCGGACTGCTGGGCCAGATGAGATAGCGCAGTCTTCTACCACGAGTGACGATGAAGAGGCGGCTGGAAACGAAGCGCTCCCCGGTTCTTCAGCAAATCTTCAAGATATCGATGAGAAGCTGGTATTGGAGGTATTGAAGCAAGATCTATTTGAACCAGTCTCGGAGACTGGGCCAACGGTATGACCGATTTCTGTATGAAGAAAGATGTCAGAAGATGTCAGCCAATTTAGCACATCTGCCAAAACAATGTATGATACCTAGGGACAGCTAATTGTCAGTTAATTGCACAAAGAGTCACCCTCTCGGGAGAAATATCAGTCTTAGATCAGGCGTGTTTACTGAAAACAACATGGGCACACAGATTTTGGTGATCGTGACATCTCGGCCCAAAGAGGAAATCACGATCAGCGCGGCTTCCTGTTGAGTCAACTCAAGACCTTCCGAGTTGACCTTCACTTCACCCGGGGTCATCTTGGATGTTCTTGAATCCGGTTGCTGCCACTATGAAACTCCACATTTTGGCCTTCGGGGTTGCTGTGATCTACCTCGGCACCTTAGCATCAACTTTATCAGATGCTAGGGCACCGTCGCAGTTCCCAGCCAAGAAACGCCCACGCGGGTGCGATTGCTACACGATCTCCGGACCCCATCTGGGATATTTCCAGCATTACAAGGTCTGGGACTTCCGGTCAGTGGATTTGAGTAAACATGCCAATCTCAATCTGTCAGAGCCCATCGATAATGGCGACGAGGTCTGGGATGATGACGATGAGGGCGATGACCAAGACCCGCAGAATGATTCACCTGGAGTCCACGAGTCAAAGGACCCTGACCCCAAGTCACTGGTGTTCTACAGGACCTCCTTCGAGAGAGACTGGAGCAGTCAAAACTGGGAACGCCGTGGAACCCCCATATCCCCGGTTCTCATGGTAAATTCGAAGCACAACGTCTTTCTCACCCGGGACCATGAGCAACATGATCCTCATGCGACGTATCTTGTTCTGCGCACCACCCGATTTTCAGAATACACTTCCACCGCAGAGATCGAGACTCGCCTACACAACATCTACCGGTGCTCGCTTCGTGTCCGGTTTCGTTTATTGCCAGCTAGCTCTGTCGTATCGCAACCCCCTCAACCCGGGGAATGGCCGCCGCGGGATCCAAAACGACATCCCACCGTGCCCTTAAACAACAAGACAACTCCGCTTCATGATGGCCGGCCACCTGACGGCGCTTGTGCTGGCATCTTTACCTACCATGACCAGACCTGTGAATCGGACATTGAAATTCTAACGCGGGACCCACCCCATCGCGTGCATTATGCCAACCAGCCTGATTATGATTTTGCCGCTGATCGCGAGATCCCCGATGCGAGTACCATTGCCGACGTACCTGTTCCATGGACATCCTGGTCCGTGCATCGCCTAGATTGGCTCTCAAACATATCACGGTGGTATGTCAACGATCAGATACAGGATGCCAAATCATACAGAGTTCCCAATCTGGAGAGCATGATTGTTATCAATCTTTGGAGTAACGGTGGACTTTGGACAGGCGACATGAGGATTGGCGACAGTATATACATGGGCATCGAATACATCGAGCTCGTCTATAATCGCTCTTCTGATGCTTCCAGGGGTTATTATGTGTCTCCTTCGCAGAACCATGGCGGCCATCAAAGAGCCTTTCTCACAAATGGTTCTATTGGTAATGAGCATCCATTGGAGCCGGATAATAAGGATGAAAAGTGCAAGCCAGGGAGGCAGGGCCGCGAGTGCAGAAGAAAGAAGTGGAGGAACAGGCCTCTTAATGAATTTTGTCAGAGACCATGCAACATTGATGAACTCTAACCCGGGCTTCTCTGGCAGACTTTTGTATCATTATCGATTCTGGTCGTTCGGTTTTTGCGACTAGCATGGGTGTTCTATATTCTAGTGCTGAACGGAATGAATATTTTATCCAAAAATACATGTCAACGAATTTACCATCGGTCACTGGGCCGTTTAGGTAGGGCAGGTGACTACATCACTCAGAGCATATTAGCAAGCAAGGCATATAGGCGGCTAGATAGCACCCTGTCCTCGGGGAATATATCGTTAAGGTAATATTACTATCAACATTACTACTACTAGATACTAATTGCTTGTGTAGATACAAGAGCAGAATGCCAACACAATAGAAATACATGCTACAAATTGGCAGCGGAGAAAGCTGATGCCATGAAGATAAAACAACTCCAAAGGAAAATAAGAGAACCAAGAAAACAAAGCAGTACGATCAAAACAGTCCGCGAGAGGGAGTTTCTTTGTATCAACTGGGTCACCATGACGGTGACCGTGGGGTATCATTCAGATTCATTGCAAACATCACAAAGAGTGCGCCGTAAGAAAATACATTGTCCTTTTTTTCGTATTTTCCGTGTGTTCGCCTTGCGCGCCGAAATATCAAATGAGTAATGGTGACCGAAAACGCCGTGATGATGGTGCTTGATATGGAGAACTGTGGGTAGGGAATGGATGAGGTATGCGAGATTATGTAGAAAGGTGAATAGAGCCCTCGAATTCAATGCATGAGATCGATAGGAAAAGGCGATGCGTGTGTAGTCATAGACGATTGGTCTTTTTGTACCCGTTTAAAGCAACACTTCGCCAGTTGCTTTGTCCTGTGGGTGGAAGTCGCCGTGAAGACCACCGTTCATGAGCTCAGCCACAATTTTTCTGCGGAGAAGTGTGATGTGCCTTGGGCCAATGGAGGTAGGTTCAACCCCAACAGTAATTGCTTTGGCGTTTGTTAGGAGGAAGACACCGCAGTCGCTTCCGTTGTCTTGCTGAGAAGAGACCGATGGCAGGACAGTCCACTCGTCATCCCTATATTTTGGCCCAAGCTCCCCACGAAGCCATTGCTTGACATTTTTCACTTGGCGGGCTCCGCGGGATCCCAGGGAATCGAAATACTCGATTGTACGTTCTTCTGGTCGAATAACCATGAGGGTCCAATGACTTGACTCATGCACGGGAATGAAGACTGTGTCGACATCAAGCAATCCTTCGCCACCGATCTTGGCGCGGTTTGCCCACCGTCGCACGCCATCATATCCCTTATCACGAAGGGTAGAGTAGAAAAAGGTGTTAAAGGCGTGGAAGCGCGGTCGCTCCTTAGGTCCGAGATTTCCATGCGATTGCCGGAGGTAGTGAACGAGTAAGCCAAGGTAGGCGTTGATGATTTCGTCATTGAGCCAGGCCTCAGGGCGAATACATGTGATGATATCCCGCTGGTAAAGATCGTCTCCGGCTAATGATCTGGCGACAGCCTGTCCTGGTCCACTCTGCAAGGCGCGTTGAAGTCTGGCAAGCCAATCTGGCGAAATCGGACGTACAGGTTGACCCGTGGGCCGCACTCTAGTGGGACGTCGGAGATCGCGCTCGCGGGCTAATCTTTCTCTCTCTCGCCTCTGGAATTCTGCCTCATACCACGATGCCATGCGATTGGCAGGAATTGGCCTCCTCTGGGCGTAGAATAACTGTACAGCGGAAACGGGGCCATGAGGAAGCCTTGCATCTTGTTGAGCTTGTTGATCCCATGGGTCATCAATGTCCATGCGATCCTCTTCGGCGGGCTCGGGGGCTTCAGTTGGTCTTGGCGATGGGATGCGCCTAGCGATCGGAAGGGGAGGGGTATATGGCGGTAATCGAGGGTGGAGATGTATACCGAGATCTGTAACCAGTGCTGGTGTTGCGCGAGCATCCATATCCATAAATTCCCACCCCTTCGGTGGGACATCTTCATCCTCGATGGCCACGCCCTGTGATACAAGGGTAGGTGATTCAGGAGGAGTCAACGGGAAGGCTCCTGGCATGGGCAAGTGAGAATCATCTAAGGCTAAATTGAAGTTTAGTATGCGCGACTTGAATTTCCAAAGAGGGGCTACCATACCATCGTAGGCGTCAAATGGGGGCTTTGAGGCCTTGAATGGATTGGGAATCATGGGCGAGGGCTTCGTGGGCTTCGTAGGGGAGGCGCGTCGCTTGCACCGAGGCCAGCGAAAGAACCCCATGTTGATGTGAAACGGAAAGTCACGCCGAACAAGCGGGAGCCAGACGGTCGGGAGCGATCTACTCGTCCGATGACGCGCTTTCAGGTATGTTGACGGATGTTGAATGAGCGTTGAGGGTGTGAAAGGGGAGGAATGAGCAAATAGATGAAGATGAGACTTCAAGATCCATCATTGGGCATGACTGGAATATCTATCCCGAACCCAGAACCGAAGGCAGATACTCCACAAAGGAAGAGGTATGGCTATGGGAACAATATGAGCCGACGCGGTGCTTCTTTCATCATTCTGCTGACTCATAACATATTCCCCGGCCCAGCCTCCATTGTTGTTATGACCTACATGTGTACTCCGTACACATTGTCACTCTTTGTTTACCTATCTTTTTTGAGAGTTTCTTTGGTTTTTGTCCTTTGGATTTGGCTAGATATAGTTTCATTTTATTCTGGTCTCGTGTCCTTTGGTGTTTCAGCTAATAATCGTCTTGTGGTGGATTCTATAAACAGCCGTCAATATAAGACAACCTCAAAGAGAAGTTTGCCATTGTAGCTTTTTACTTGATCGCCCTTTGGTCTTGTGCCTTTTATTATCTTCTATGTCATGGTTCATGCGGCTGGTCCATACCTGTGTTTGAGCAGGATGTCTAACCAGACCGAAGAATGTACCTAGGGATATTGTTTTCAATGCTTATGTACATGGACAACGTAAAGAATATTTCGAAGGTAGCCTGTTCCAGCACAGCCCGCTGGGCTAGGAGCAGGCTGAAGAGTTGGTGGGGGTAAGAAGCGAGGGACCGCAAGGCGAATTGCACTTCTATTGATACATTTCTCATCCTCATTATTGGTTTCCAAGTCCGATTAGGTCGAATAACAGGGGTGCGATTTCAATGACCACCCATGGAATACCTAAAGGAGACTGATATTAGCAAACGTTGTAGCAAAATCCAAGGACTTCACATACCTGCATATACAACCATTTTTGTCACTACCTCCACGTCGTACCGCACGCGGGGCTTCTTGATCTGGGAGAACACTTCTTTTTCGTCCCGCTCTCGCTCGAAATCTAGCGAAGGGAAAGGTGTTGGCATGTCGAGGTTCACATCCACTGCAGATGAACTGGGGCTGCCTCTTCCCATCATGCCTTCGTAATCGTCGAGTGATGCCGCCTTTCTCAACGTCACAGGCGTTCCGTTAGGCTGGGCTTCACTCTCTGCTACCGGAGAAGGACGATTGCTCCCAGATTGACTTTCGCGTCGGCGCTTTTCCCGGTACGCCAAGGTCTCATACGCATCAGCTTCTGACTGAGGACCGATTGAAATGGCTCGGCGACGGGGATGGCGTATTGTGGTAATGATGTTTGGGATGTCAGAGATATCTGGAAGAACGTCATGATCCTTTAGGTTAGAGGGGACGGTGGTGTATTTACTAAAAACATGTCAGCATAAATTCCACAAGCACACAACACATTTGAGCCTTGCAACTCACGATGCAGTGGTGAAGAAACGCCGAGGGAGCAAAAGACCGAGCTTCTCCAGGGTCCGGAAGATAGGTGGCAGAATGCGCAGCAAAGCGGGCTTTGTTACTGCTCTCCACGCAAACACGCACAAAACGCCCACGACCAGACGAAAGACAGTCTTAATCCAGCCAACGGTCTCGAGGTCGTAGGGAATTGATCCAGAAGGATAACCGACCCAGATATCGGCGAAGTGCCATGAAGACATATCAACGCCTAGCATGACACCTGCGAATGCGACGCTATCGTCGAAGCATGGGCAATCATCGGCAGGCTCCGGATGGATGCGGACGAGAGATATAATAAGAAGCCCCAGCAGAGAAATTTCCTTTAGCGAGGCCGATAAAATGAATTCCTCAAAGGCAGGTCCATAATGAAATTGCACGAGGCCGATGGCCGCACCCATAGCACACCCAACAGTACAGTCCAGCATCCCATGCATTCCGCAATACAGTCGACCCAATACAATGGACACGACGTAGATATAGGTGACGGCTTGGAGTAAAAGAGTGGCCTGGACGCTGAGAGTTGAATCGGGTGAACCAAGCACGGCCAAAGCATAGACCGCAACCGATACAGCGTTGGTGGAGTGTGTCGAGGGGAATCCGTATTCCAGTGCTGCAGAACCGGACATGGTAATTCGCTGGAGTGGCGGAGATAGAGGGCGAGGAAGACATAGCAGGTCCTTCAGGAAGCCGCTCCAAAAGACGCCCGATGCTAAGATGTGTACCAATCTGTAGATCGTTGTTAGCCACAGACTTCCACCCAATTCTAGAAATCAAACGTACGCGCGACCCATACTGGGAGAACCACACCAGAAGAGGAAGGGCAAGAAGACCATGAAGAAGGTATGTGTGCCGAGGTTGGCCGTGAAAGCGAAATACGAGTCGAGTGTTGGCGTGCGCACTTTCTCCTGCACCCACGCCAGATACGGCGTCTCATATCGGATCAATGGGATGAGCTTTTGTCGCGGCCAGTACCGCCAGAGGGGCAATCGACTCGAATCTATGTCGCAAACGCGTGGCAGTTAGTGGACACCGCGATAATGCATGGACAAAAAGTGAAACCAATTGCATACAATGATTCAGACTCTTCAGTCCAGCATCGGGCTGGTCGTCATTGCTCGTGCCCATGATGCAGTGTTATCGATCTAGTCGCAATCCGATGGATTCCATAGATAGACAGGTCGCTGCCTGCCGGTCCGTTTAAGTTGACTAGGGTTCAGAGCATAAGGAGTGAATTGAAGTTGGATTGAAGCAAATGATATAATCGAGAACCTCTTGGAAGTATCCTCCAAAGTTGACGGGGGAGATCCGCGGCTCAAACCCCTGATGCCTGGGGCCCGCCATGTGTGTGCTTAGTCATGGCCATGGATGGATGGCCGGGGCTGCTTAGGTGTATACATCGTGGGTAGTTACTCGGTTTTTACTACAGAGTAATTAATTTTGAGATAGACTATCATTTGGGTAAATCTATATTCTACAAGGAGTATATTGGATCTATATTTTTACAATGGAGACCTATCATCAAGTAAATACTCAAGGTAAATACATGTGAAGCCGATGCTGATCTAGTACTATAATATCCCCAAATTTCAATTGGTGATATTGATATCTTCAAATCGCTTCATTCTTTTGTTCATTTTGCCTGGTGATACTATATTTATTATGCGGCTCTTAGCTTCTGAAGTGGTGCCTGTTTTTCTCTCCTTTCCAAGATGTATGATTGTAATTGACTAGGGGAGAAAAAGATGAAGCTAAAAATCAAAAACTCACCAATAATACTTAAAGGAAATATTATTGTCAACTCGTATATCTTTCTATAGGACGTCGGTCTTCTCCGGCCTCAAAAAAGAGAAGGATGACATGCAGAGTTAGCGTCCAAGTCCATTTTATTTTGTTTTTGATTATTTTAGTTTTAGCTTGATTACTTTTCCAATTAGATACTCGAATTTACAATTCTTCTAAGCCTTATAGAAAATATAGGTTATATTACGGAGTATAGCTTATACTAAACTAATATCTGGTGAAAAGAAATTAGAGACCTCATATTTCAATCAGGATATACAATCACATGACCCCATCGGGTAAACTGTATAAAAAAAAAAAAAAAATAGCTGAGCTGAACGGTGGGGTACAAGAATATATTAGCGGAGTCAAGACCAAAACAGGATCGAGATAATCCAGTAAATGATAGAAATCCACGATATCAAGGTCTTTGATCGTGGGGAGCGGAGCCCTGGCGTCATGGAGGCACGGCCGTTGCTATGGTAGCCCCGGTGTAAACACGGGTCTCACGGGTCTCACGGGTCTCGCCAGATCATCTTGCTCTATCGATCCTCTAGATCTTTTTTAGATCTATCTTCTCCTCTTTTTTTCTTCTCAAATCTTTCCAATCCTATCAGACTCATCAACCCGCTCCTCTGTATCACATTACCACGAGGGACATTCCAACCCCCTACTACTCACCATGAGTGCTATGTACGAAGATCAATACTATGCAGCTTCGCGCCGCCGCTCTCTCGCCACCCCTCCTCCGTCTTTGACACCACGTCACAGTCGAGCACGCAGCGACAGTATCCGAGTCAGCCACGGCACAGCCAGCACCAATACCAGCGTCTCCAGTGGACGGATGTCCGAGGCAACCAATATCACTCAGCCGCCCTCATTCTCAAAAAAGTTTGTAGTGGTGGGCGATGGCGGATGTGGCAAGACCTGCCTGTTGATTAGTTATTCCCAAGGTTACTTCCCAGAGGTACGTTGAAACCTGCGAGGAAAGATGAATCTTTGCTGATTACCATCTAGAAATATGTCCCCACAGTGTTCGAGAATTATATCACCCAAACAACGCATCGGGCTTCTGGCAAGACCGTTGAATTAGCGCTCTGGGATACTGCTGGACAGGAGGAATATGACCGTTTGCGACCACTGTCCTATCCCGAGACTGATCTTCTGTTTGTCTGCTTTGCTATCGACTGCCCCGCATCATTGGAGAATGTTGTTGACAAGGTGAGTTCTACAATTGGAACCTCTTTGCTCGATTTGTCTAACATCTCTCTTTTTAGTGGTATCCCGAGGTTCTGCACTTCTGTCCCACCACACCGATTATTCTCGTTGGCTTGAAGTCCGACTTGCGCAATAAGCGAACCTGCATTGAACTCCTCAAGACACAAGGCCTGACACCCATTACACCAGAGCAAGGTGAAAATGTCGCCCAACGGATGGGAGCAACATACGCCGAATGCAGTAGTAAGGAGATGCGTGGTGTGGACGAAGTCTTCGCCAAGGCCGTTGACTCGGCCATCTCAATCGAAGAACAAGGCTGGACAGCCCAGCAACCGGCCGGCCGAAACGGCCGTAATAACCGCAACAGTCGCACGGGTGCTGCGCCTTCAGGAGGTGGAGGCCCCCGCCCTGGCAAGAAGATTAAGAAGCGCACTTGCAAGATTCTGTAGATTGATTCTACTCGATCTGTGTTTTCTTTTCCCATTATCGACACCCTTTGACCTTTCCTTCTCTCTTGGCCGGACCACAAGCCTGGTTGCTTCGTCGGCTTGCTTGCCCGCTCGCCTGTGTATGTGACATGTCGCCGCAAGCTGGACAAAGCTAGACATGACTTTCCAAATCTTTCTCTGTTGTATCGATACGCTGTGCGGCCCTTACAATAATCTCGATTCTGTTTCTTTTTGCTGGAGGCTGTTTCTTCTATTTCACGTTTGTTCCCTTGTGTTATTTTTGGCCCTTTTCACGACCCTTGTCCCCCTTGTGTTCCATTTGATGTCTCTCATGACTCGGGTTTTTGCCGTTTTCCATTGGCATGCATGGGACTGGTGTTTATGTTATCTGATATGCTCTGTTGGCGAAAGCGATGTTCTATGTGTTACTGAAACAATACATTTGTGTTTATCAATGCCTTCCCCGTAAGATTCGTATATCTTTTTCCCAGGTCGTAAACGTAACCCGAATTTTGAATGGTATCTAAGAAAAGAAAAAAAAAAAAAGTAAAACAGCCCGACGCCGAGACCCGTCATGCAGACCAAAATTTAAACCATCACTGCATGACTGTCGAGTCACCCTCGTCGTCTTCACGCTTTACTCCCGACTTACTCGCATCACTCTCCCCGCTAACCTTCCGCTTCTCATTGTCATTGCCAGCCTCACCTTGTTCTTCAGGCCGGCCCATAAAGTTCTCAAACTGGGACCAGAGAGCTTCCACAGATCCAAATTCATTCCCCACCTAATGATACCATTAGCAGATGCGTTTTCTCCGTCTCAGTGCTGAAACCTACCGCAATCACACTCTCCAGATTCCGATTCAGGCGGTTGATGTTTTGAAGTACTTGCTCCATACCCTGTTCGAATAAATTAACATCGGTTGCGGCGGCTGATAAGGCTTCCCGAGTGCGGGAGTTTCGTGGACATGGTACATACCACTGCAATCTCTCGGACGAGTTCCTCGCGCTGCTGCTCAAAGACTGTTGGGGACGCGGCGCGACCGCCAGAGCCTGGTGTTTGCTGGATCCAGGCCATTTTTTTTTTTTACTTGTGAGGTTCTAGTCGGGCTAGATGAGGTGACAAGCGTGGAATGACACGACTTGGCAGGTTTGGGCACGTCTCAAAGACACGACGGTTGAGGTTTCGGGGAGGGTCGCGGAAGATTGTTACTTGGCGTTGGGGTGTTTGGGACTAGACGCGTGTTTTTGCAGAGAAAACTTCATAGACAGTCACAGTTGCAGTTGTGTTGACAATTTGAGATGAGGTTGATGTGGGGCATTGATAAGAGATCTTATGCGTCCACATCTATATGCCCAAAATTACTAGGAAGAATTTGTTAATAGGAAGTATGGCAGATATCACTCTCTGTTTTATTAGCTAATTGGAGACCTGTTAGGATGCCATCGAGTTGTAACTCCAAGACAAAATTAGAGAGGTTAACACCGGCGATAAGTAGAGGGTTGGCAGGCCGCCTCCAATATTGACCCAGACTCGAAATGGCAGTCTGCTTTATGATACTTTGCCAGAAATATCTGAATACTACTTGATTTGAACTGAATCTTGATTCCATATTCGCCTGATCGTGTCCTGGCCCTTCGCTTGCCAATCTCTCGAGCAGCTTTTGATCCTTCGAGCGGGCCGGGTAAATTGTTATTCAAAGAAGCAAGATATCCAGGCAGGAAGACAATGAATGAACAAGGCCGTATAAATGCCAGCTCATAAGTTTGTGGCGTGTTTCTTGCAAGGGTTTGGCGGCCCTACCATTGCTCGAGTGCGATAATGCACCACCACGTACAGCAAAGGATTCCGGTCGTTCAGATGGCGAGAGGAAAGACGCCAATTGTTAGCAATTCATCTATCATATTGTCATAGGATCTTGCGAATTGACAATATCTTTCATTTATCGCATCTCTGATAATTTCAAACGACGTAGCCGTGCTGGCATGATAATAGAATCTCATCACTTTCAGCTAGTGAGCCTGGGCTTATAGAGCAAGAATCAGCATTGCTGTCCTCTTGTGGTGCAGATGAAGACTTCAGGGTCAAACGAAGCGCCATGTAGTTACGTCTATGTATAAGCTGCACGGAACCCGGTGTGCACCGTACCGTCACCTAGTGTCAGCATAACGTGAACGGAAGTCTAGCGGCTCTACGATCTAGACCAATTCTCACATTCCTGTGCTTACACTGATCCCATCTTTCCGAGACTTTGGTGTACCGGGGCGTGGCAGTGCAAAGGGGCGAGATCGAGGTATCCACAAGTCCACAAAGACTGAGAGACACGAGCCAATTGTGGGGGCTTGGATATGGGAGCTTCCGTTAGACTGTCAAATTGAAAATCCCCCGAAATAGTTGGACAAGATAGGGATTTCATCACATTCATACGGAGTGTTGTGAGAGTCAATTCGGATAAGTTGAACCGAGCACACTGCGCACGCGCTTCGGTGACAACAGAAATGTAACTCCAGCCGGGAAAGTTGTACGAACTCGGTACCATTTTAGGATGTCTTGAGCTTATATCCAAAAATATAACAGGCGTCAACGTTTAGAAATGGTTGAAACCCCCCTGAGATAAAGAGATATATAATTATTCGATGCTGTGTGCGGGCCTGCCCAAATTTGATATTTAGTTGGTTTCTTGATTTAGACTCCCGAAAAGTCCCATATAGGGCTCAAAAGCACGAGCACAATGGTCGACGTCAAGTATATGGGAGAATATGACTACATACCATCAGTACCAGCTGCCGTGACATTCATTGTCCTATTCGGAATATCAACCCCCCTGCATTGTTGGCAAATGTTCCGTGGTCGGGCTTGGTTCTTCATTGCTTTTATATTGGGAGGAATATGTGAGTACCAAATCGAAGTACCAAATTGCTGTTGGGGCCTTTCTTCGGGCGATTTTCCGGGTCTTTTTAACACAAGTTTTCTGTAGTTGAGGTTGTTGGATATGTAACTGTAAGTCCGCCTCAGTACTCGATCAAGTCAGATAGGGAATATACTCACAATTCTAGCGTGTCATTTCTTCCAACGAATACCCGAACTATACCATTCCTCCTCTTGCCATACAAGCCATTTTTATCCTCGTCGCGCCATCACTGCTCGCTGCAAGTATTTATATGGAACTTGGTCGCATCATGATTGTCACCGGCGGAGAGCACTTGTCACCAATCCGACGCTCGTGGCTGACAAAGATCTTTGTGGTGGGCGATGTGATATCCTTTTTTGTCCAGGCAGGAGGTAAGACACATATTCTGTCTTTCAATGCGTCAACGATATCCTAAAATGCTTGAGTGACTAACTCTATATTGCAACGATGCAGGAGCCGGGATGCTCGTCAAAGCCAGCACAGCAGCAAAGGGCGGAAATGTGATTAAAGTTGGCTTGATCATCCAAATTATCTTTTTCGGACTCTTCATAATCACCAGCATAATTTTCCATGTCAAGCTTGTGAAAAACGGGTCAAGGGTGCTACAACGGCACGACGTCCCCTGGAAGAAACACCAGACCGTGTTATACATCGGTAGTCTGCTCATTTTCGTCCGTTCCATCTTCCGGTACATCGAGTATAACCAGGGAAGTAGCGGGCCATTGCTCCAACAAGAATTCTGGAGTTACATTTTCGATGCCGCTCTTATGCTGCTGGTAATGGTCGCGTTTAACGTGGTGCATCCTGCGGAGATTAGCAGGTTGATGGAAAAGAGAAAAGGCGAATATGGGATGGAACTGATTGGATGATTGAGACGACTGGATATAGTATGCCGGGAAATCTCCGGGGATGTTCAACCAGACCGACTCAACCTGTATCAAACTGATGTACATTAAAATGTTGATAGATCCAGTTCACACAAATTAAATGGGCTATATCTCAGTCCCGAAGTCTGTCTGACATTGTCGTTTTGCTACAGTTCTCTTTCCAACTTGAGATTCTTCCGATTCTAATCTCCATCCTCAAGTCGCTCGTATAGCTTACCCTACATGCACATGATTTAGTCTAGGCTCGAAGGTCCGAATGGTCCGGCGCAGGGATAGAGGCCGATACAGCACCAAATTGCCAGTCGTATCCCCGAACACCGAGAGCTGCTGTGCTAGGCAATAGAAAAAAGAGCTATCCCAGCTTCACTGACATGCCGTTCCTGACTTCCTGAAACCTTTCCAGCAAAGCCTTTTTTTTTAGGCCAGTTTAACAGAGAGTGTACTCGCACGAATGTTCCACTTCGAGAAGCCCCTCTCATCCTAGGGTCCAGGGTCCACCTATTTTGTACCTATTTTGTACAAACTACAAGCTCGATAGTGATCCAATAGCATCCTTGGGAGTAGTGAATAAGGAGAGCTAAGACCCCGCCGGATTTAATATTCGCCAGGTACCAAGCTCAACAAACAATCGGGTCAAATAGGATTTCGGTTACTGTCGCTTCATGTTCAGACTTATTCACGGGTATTAAAGGCGTTATGGCTACAAGCGGCAGAGACGAGCCATGGAAAAAGGAAGTTATGTATTAAGTGAGAAATAGCCAAACACAGGTCTCAGACCGTTCGCGTTCATTTTCCGAGAAATTTAGTTTCTATACATGTGTCCTTTGACACAACCCAGACCATAATCGTATAATCCTAGACCAAATCTAAAGCCAAAGCCAAAGCCAAATCCAAATCCAAAGCCAAATCCAAAGCCAAATCCAAAGCCAAATCCAAAGCCAAATCGCCAATTGAACGAAGTGCATACTCAATCATCAAAGCGGGGAAAAATGCTGTCCCCTTGTCAACTGGACCAGTGCCGAGACCACGGTCTGCGGCCAAACACTCGACACGCGAATAGCAAAGGTAACGCCGTCGCGCACATCACTTCGTATCATTTCAATTCATAATCTCGTTTGCAATCCACGGTTCTCAGTCCCTGTCACCGTGCCCTAGGCACGAAATACAGACCTGAACCCGCTATCCACCCAAATATCAATAAGCGTCTCAGACACATAGTAGGTGGCAGTATAGTATGAGCCAGGCACACATCGCTGCAAGGAGGGGCGTATATTAAGAGTTCCGTTGCGCCAGGATATTGCTCAGACGTTTCCAACGTGGCGTCGGGGATGTCGAGATCGTGCGAGACAGGGGTTTGTCTGGTTTTGTAGATGATTGTGTAGAAGAGCGAGCTCGGCTGTTGATGGTTGCTTCGTGGTCGGCGAGGACATCCTCGAGGCGGACGTCTGAGTCGGACATGCGTCGGGGTGAATCCTTGGGATCGAGGATCTCGATGAACCTGGATGGTGTGTCGCGCATGGTGTGAATGGGTTTTTTTTTTTTTTTTTGGTGTTGATCTGGTGGAGGGTGCAGAGTATATGATTTCCAAACTCAGGAAATTCAGAGGGGGTCACGAGGGTGTATAGATTTATTTAGGTTCAAGCGCGAGATGAGACAAAGAATGCTGCAGGTCTAGGGTGACTGCAGACTTGCGGAGATTGGTGTGTTTCAAGAGAAGCAAGAGAATAAAGAGGGAAAATGAAGGAAGGTTTTATAAAAGAATGGTAATGGGTTCCGATGTAGAAAAAGGAAAACGCAGTTCCGAAGATCAGTGGAGCAGTTAACTATAAAATTTATATTGTTCTTTTTGAGATATCTTATAGAACCTTAGAGGTATACGTACAGTATTCAAGTAGGCAACCTGTTTCAAAGCACTCGAAACCCCACAGTATCGAGTGCATACTCCGTACATCGCACAAGCCCCTTTTGGTAGTGTGACAATACTGACTGCGCAATGAGGCGATGATCGGCGCCGAACTACTTCAGTGGCGTCCGAGTGACCAACAATGGCGATGAAGAACCGCGATGGTTCGTCAGGATATATGTAAGAGCACATGGCCCATGCGGAAAAAGGTCAAAAAATGTCAAAAAAGGTCAAATGAGGTCAAATGAGGTCAAATGAGGTCTATGATATAGAAAAATATGCTCATCCTTTCTTTTATCTTTTCTGCAGACGAGCCCCCGTAAACCCTGAAACTGGCTACGATAACCCTGCAGTGCGCTACTCGTCTTAGCTGACTAGTGTGGATGCCATCAAGCGCTATGACGTCGATGGCATAAGATCTCTATAGGTTTACCGAGGACGGAGTAGATGCTCAGGGACTGCAGAGGGGCAAGCAAGTCGGGTCGACGGGTGATCGGCATCTGGATGTATAATGTACATTGGACAGTACATAGTGCGCTATGTGGTACGTCGTCTTCTATAAAAAGAACCGCCACAGCAAGCCACCTCAAACCTGCCACACGTCTGAATCTTTTCCAATTCACATAGATGACGAGCGTATCATACAACACAGCGTGAAGAGGGATAGGGGCATTAATCAAATCCTATTCACACGAGAAACGAGAGATGTGAGTGCACGTAAGTGAATTCGCCCCAATGGAGATTGCTCAGGGCTGCGCCCGGACTGATGTCAACCGGACCATCGCGGACTGTGCGAGACAGTTATCTCCAGGAATGTGATGCCTGTCCTGGTTTAGACTATTCCTCCGTTCCCGAGATACGATTCGATAATAGCAGTTGGAGCTATGATGTTCTGTTGAGAAACTGATCGCCCTGGGCCATAGTGTCTTGTCCCTCCTTCAGTGCACCGATGTACACGGTACCTTCAAAATAGGTCGATATCTATTGGATTTAGGCTGTTGTTCCCCTTTTTCTCACCGATGCCCTCTGACCGAACGGAGAGCAGCGGGAGACCCTGTCGTTGCTGCGCCGCACTTTGAGTCATAATACACCATGCTCGACACATGATGGCGCAGCAGACTCGCAGCCCCAATTAACCACAAAGTACACAACTACGTATGCCTCTCAGACTCGTGCAGAAAGTAATTGATTCGATTTTGGTCAGAGGGCCATACACAAACCCCACTTTGAAAAGCCATAAACAAATAAACGCCTCATGATAATTGAAATTGTGAGTAGAACACACACACTCGAGCCCCAAGTAATCCGGTAGACTCGGTACATCTTCCGTGTCCATCTGTGCAGAGCTGAGCTCGTCGTGTCTTCGGGTGCCTGACGGGCGCAGTGTAGCCATCTGGGTGTGGCACAAACCAAGTAACCTATCCATTCAATGGAATAGGAATTCCACTGCACCAAGGGCACTACTCCAAAGCTGCAACACCCAAGCACACCTCATTCCTAGACACATAACAGCCGTCATCTCCCCCTCCCCTCATGCACCGTACTGCATCGCACCTCCGTTCCAGGGTATGCGACATATTATTTGTATTCCATGTCCGTTACCTCGATTGCATCGGCTGAGCCCATGTAGAGGATGTTGTTGCATCTGTGCGGGAGAAAAGAGTTAGCGAAACTAGAATTCCAAGTATCCAGCCCGACGCCGAGCCGGTTGGAGCGCATCACATACCTGATCAGAACAAGACCCAATGCACCGGTGGACTTTCCGTCGATAAACTCTTGCGTGTCGCGGAGTAGGACGTTCATGTATGAATCGATGCTCTCGAGAGTGCCCTTGTATTCGGTCTGGCCCCACTTCAGGCGGATGAGGACTTCGGTGCCCACGCTATTAAGACATATAGGTTAGCACACTGTGTTGATAGTGACGATGCATATGTGCGAATATCTCGATTGCTTGGGGCTGCTTGATGGGGTCCGGGTGAGTTGGGGGCGGGTCGCATACCGAGCCTGGAGGAAGGGACGGGGGTTAAGCGGTTGGAACTGTAAAAGTGTGAGTTAGCAATTGGTCTTCTGGGAATAGCGCGCGGGTTAAGGTGTTGATGAGCGGGATTTCAAGCTTGATAGCGGGCTGAGCTTGAGGGGGGAAGGAAGACGGACACTCATTGTGACTCGGGATGAGTTTCTGGTCAGTTAGGATGGAGTGGTATTTGAGGATGTGATAACAGCAAAAGCTCAAGCAAGATCTAGCACTCCGTTGGTTGATCGTGCTGGTCGTGTTGTTAACTGCCTTGACATCGGAGTCGGCGAGATCGCGAAAATGTGAGCTGAATAAGGCGGTCCCAGTAGCCAATCAGCACTCATATTTCTTCACCGCCATCAAGGTCTTGTATAGGTCGCAAAGGATTGGCACGACGGTTCTTTGCTGTAGGGAAATACACCGCATTCACTCATTAGAACTAAGATAAAGGAAAGAAAACGTTTTATGGCTCATTTATCATTGATAGGTCTCCCATCTTCGGCATGCTCCGTGCCCCCATTCCCATCACAGCTTCCAAGGTAAGCTCATCAACAGACATCAATAATAATACAATGGAAAAATACAATCAGAGTTCATCAGAGTTTCATAGATTCAGACCCAACGTTCAGCCATAGCTTGATAATCATCATCACCAAGTAGATCTTTAACGACCAATACTCCAGGTGATTTCCTTGATGCTGACTTCCTCACCCTTCTTCTCGTCGTAGTCATACCACTCATCCTCCATAAGATCAATACCAGAGAAGGTGGTGGTGGACTCAACAGCCTTGGCTTCCCATTCACCCTAGATTGTTTTCATCAGCACATACAATTACGTAGGTAAGTCTGGACAGAATCTAGGATTTACTTACATCGGGCTTGAACTCAACAAACTCGAGGCCACGGCAGTCAATTTCGAGGATCTTCTGGGCCTTGCTCTTTTCCTGGGCCTCATAGGGCTTAGGTCCGCTGATGACGGAGGCAGTGTGGGTTTTCTATGTGATTCAAAGTTAGCTGTGTAATCAAGGAAAAACCACGCAGGCCCAAATGATTGGTGTCAACAAAGCGGAATGGAAGGAACTCGTTCAGTCTATCAGATTGGAAAAAGAAATTGCTTGCTTACCGTGCACAGTCGGCACTTCCACACAAAATTAGCCTCGCCGCGGCTACCGGGGATTTCGTGCGTCTCCTGTACATTAATCCATAAATAAACCACTCAATCGTGACACAATGGAGGAAAGTATATAAGTGATCCACGTACGAAGCGATTGAAGCTGACCCAGTTAGGGTGCGTCTCGTGGCAGGAGGTACATTTCACTTTGAAAGTGTAGAAGTAGGGATTTTCCTCAGTGTCAGTGGGCACGAGGGCAGTAACACTGTATCATTATATCAGCTGGTTGACTCTTTGATAATGGTGGCCGAAAGGATCTGCCAGCGCGGCGTTCCTGGAATTGGAATGCGGTGCGGGGAGATCCAAATAGCATCAAAGGCTCAATAATCAAACACCTAAAGGAGCGCTTACCCCTCCAGTTGAGCTTCGACCAAAAGAGTGAGCATTTTTGGCTTTTGAGGTCAAGTGGGTGATCTTGATATTGAGTGATGGCTGAAGTTAAGATCCTCTCTGCAGGTGATGCGGGGTGGAGATGGAAAATACTTAACGTAGATCGAGGCTTGGCATGTGACCACTTTGAAACATCAAGCTTATCAAGACTATAAAAAATAGAAGTGCGAAGAGGAGCTTGAGTATTTGAATTGAAAATTGATTTATATGGAAATTGAAAATAAACGCCAGTCATGCTCAAACTATCGCTGCTATATACATCTCGAAGGTAAAATACAGACTCATAAACACGTCGACCTTCTTACAGACGGCTCTGTTGAGAGTCCTGACCCAGCGGCTTCGTTGAGAATGCATTAAAGAACTCGTTGAGAGCGTCAACAGTGCCACTCCCCTCAACCAGTTGCACAGTGCAAGCGACGTGGCTGTCGGGGCGGGTGACGACGACACCACCCTTCTCAGCATCGAAGCCGAGCTTCTCGTGGGCCGCAAATTGAGCCTGAGGAACACGCACATCGGGAATATCATCGGCATAGAGGTGGTGGTGATAGTCGCGCAGGACCTGGGGGATGGAGTCCACATCGATGGTGTTCTTGGAGCCTGCGTAGATCACAGACAGGGTGAACAGCTTGGAGTGAGGGTTGTGACGCTCGAAGAATGACACATCGGTAATGTCAGACCGGCGGTACACTGAAAGGAACGAGCGCTCCTTCTCTAGGTTTGCAGCAAGGTCGGTAATGGCCTTCTTGGTTTTGGCTTGGTTGCCAGCGAAGATGAAGATGCGGAATGCACCGTTAGCGGGCACTTCCTGCTCAAGCTCGACAAAGTTGGAATCTGCAAGACGGGTGACAGTGGTCGGGGTGAAAGCGCGACCCGGAGTCAGATGGACGCCGGGAATCTGGAACAGAGGGGACTTGGCAGGGTGGCTCGCGTCCCAGGTGAAAATGTTAGGCTGGTAGGCCACTCCGTATCCACTGGTGAACTCGCAGGATGACTTGAAGGTCTTGACAAATTCGTCCTCCTCCCCACCAGCACCCACAGTGGCGTGGCTGGCAGAACCAACCTCGCCAGCAGTGGGACGGCGCTTGGAGAACAAGGCTGCGTACTTGGAATCGAAGTTCAACAAAGTCTCAGCGATATCCTTGCGCTCACTCTCGTAGGTGCTGAGAATAGAACGGTTGGCAAAGCCACTCTCCACGATGTGGATCTTCCAGGCCATGTTGAGTGCGTCGTGGAAAGCAGTGTTCATTCCCTGGCCGGCCTTGGGCTGTAGGGGTGTTAGCGATATTTCCCGAATAACAGGGACTTCGAAGGGAAATACTGACGCTGTGAGTGTGGCAAGCATCACCACCCATAAAGACTCGCTCATCAAGGGTGTACTTTTCAGCGATACCCTGTCCAATAGGATAGACAGAGTACCACTCAACCCGGTCCCACTCAATCCAGTATGGCTTCAGAATGTTCTTCGCGGTTTGCTGGACCTCCTCGGCGGTGGCAGACTTTCGGGGGTTCCAGTCGGCGTCTGTGGAAGAGGCGATCTGCACATAGAGACGGACCATGTTGTCCTCGCGGGGAATGACCATGATTGAGCCTGCGTCCGAGTGGATGGTGCATTTTGTCTGTATATCGATGTGTTAGAGAAATAAGGGAAATCGATTCCTTTCGGGCATGCTTACCTCAATGTCGGGGAAGTTGGTGCGCACAACACCGTCCATGACACCCCAAACATAGGCAATAGGATCCTTGTGGTGGATCTTGATGTTAAGCTGATCACGGACAAAGCTACGGGCACCCTCGCCGCTGAACAAGTACTTGGTGCGTACATTCTCGATAACATTGGTATCCAGACACTTCAGATTGACCTCAACTGGGTAATCGGCATTTGTGCCATCGTTATTAAAGCCAACGATGGTCCATGGCCGCTCGACAGTTGTGCCAGCCTTCTTAATTTCATCCAAGAACACACGCTCGATCTTGCCCTGGTGGACTAGAGTGGTGAAAGGGTAGCGGGTGTCAATGAAACGGGGGCAACTAGGCCAGCTGCCAGTGCGGCCGATGCCAGAGCCGTCGCCCTTAGGGTCCCAGAAGGCAACATCGTACACCTTGGCGGGCTCGTAAGCCATGATCGAGCGCTTCAAGCCAAGGTTGCGCAAGATCTCGGTAGATCGCGGCTGGATACCGTCGGCGCGACCAGTCGCGGTAGGAACTGGGCGGTTGTCGATGTGCTTCACCTTGTAACCCCATCGTGACATACACAGGGACAAGAGCAGGCCAACGGGGCCGGCGCCCACAATGACAATGTCATAGTTCTCTTGTTGTACCATGATGACGGCCAAAAGCGAACGTAGTGATCAAGGTGGGGATAGGTATGAATTATATGGCGAATGGAGGTATGATCAACGTAAATAATTGTACATATGACTTGAAAGAAATGTAGAATAGATCAGAGTATCACCCTGCAAGATGAGCGAAAGAAAATGAACGAGGGCCATGGCTGGCCCTATATACTGTCGGGGAACTGGGGTAAGCGGACGGGTTGGGTATTCAACTGAAGCAACGGAGCACATCCACGGCATTCAGAGTCGGCGGAATCGTGGGGGGTACCCGTTCAAGGCTTGGGGTAGCCAATCACATTCACCAGAGACGGAATTATGGACGATTTGTCAGAATCGAAGAAACAAGCGCTATGTGGGGACAGGACTGGCTTTGCACAATGTCCATAATACCGTCGTTGATCCCGAGCTGGTGGCTGACTCGCTTGTGACTGGGTTGCTCCTCTTCTCCTCTGCTCCACCCGGAAACGACTTCGGTAAGCGGACTGGTGGGCACGTGACATCTCCTCGGCAACCCTGCCCGGGATCTATATCTCTGGATCTCTGGACACTCCCGGGGCCATCGTATTTCGTACATCGTTGGGGAATTGCCCGATCCATCTAAATCCAGAAATAATCAGCGGATTTTTTTTTCGAAAACTATTGGCTACATGCTCAATCATTCTCTTCCGTCCTGCCGAGATGACTGAACTCCTGCCGTCATATCCACCGGTCCAGGTCCCGCACCAGCATGGTAGTTTAACCTGGTACTTACACTGTGGAAAACCCGAAAATTCATGCCATATTCTAGCTGAAATACCCATGAGGCCTCACATCTACTCTGGTATTGTTCCCTCGGTCTGGTCCATGGCAGATGGATCGGTTCTACTCCTTATTCAGAAAAACAACATCATTGGAAGCATTGCTATGGAGAGTACATTGTCATACATAGTAACAGCACTCCAAAGATCCGACTTCAATTCCATAAAAGTATCATCAGTGTAATAGTTTGAATGATCTGTATTTTCTTGATTTAAATTTGCTAGGTTTTCCAACAGTAATCTTCTGTAGACTTCGGGAATGGGTGGAAATATTGACACCTGAGGCGACAACAACGAAAGAGGTTTGGGTCGGGTACAAGTTGTACCGCTCCGAACTATACACATAAACCTCATGCTTAACTAACTAGTTAGTTAGTTAACTAGTTATCAGGACTAAATTGGATAATCAGATTCACCCTGGCACCTCTTTTAGAAAAACATATCTAACAGTTTTGCACATGGGGTAAGTACGGATGTCTTATAGAATTTTTTAATGTTCTTACTCTTCATGTAGTGGGTGGTGACAACACATAAAATGCGTTTACACTAGTCATGAGCTCACGGAGTATGATATTATTTTTTGTCTTTTTTTATATAGATATTTCTATATTTTCTCCCTTTGTCAGTATATCATGTCGTCTTTCTAGATTTGACCCAAGCTAGTACTATTTAGGTAGGTTCACGTGGTGAAGAGGCGTTTGATTGGTCTATAAACAACCTCCTAGATAGGGAATATTAATATCCTTTTTCTCCGTTTGTTCATTCATTGTTCCAACATTATTCATTTTCATTTTCCTCGTTTCTGCCTTCTTTGTTCTCTATTATTCGTGACGCATTGCCAGCCATCTTATTGGACTAAACCTATTATTGCAGTCCATGTGGTCCCAACATAAGCTTTTCGGCCTCAACAATGGCCTCGATCTTGATACTATGCCTTATTGGTCATTCATGAATAACAATTCAATGGTTATTGTAGATAGACGCATTGTAGCCCGAAGTGCCCACGACAGCGCTGCATAACAATCCTCTTCTTCCCATACTTCTTGATATCTTTCATGCTTCTGTTTCTCTACTTCGGTGTTTACCGTTCTACAATTGCAAATCTGACCTTGAACAGCAACTTGAGTTGAAATTGTAAACCAGACAATGTCTCAATATCCACCAATCCGGCCCTGGGCAGCTCTGAGCGCCATTGACTTGGAGGACGAGCCAGGAATCCTCTACGAAGATGAACGCCAGCAATGGCTTCGACAGCACCCACATGTTGCTCCTCGCACCGCAAAGAAGATTGGCAATAAGAGTCTACGTCCCTTCGCAGACGGGGGCCCCAGCATGGCTAAAAACCTTCGTGGTATTGCGGAACGAGGTGCAGCTCGTCGCAATGGAACTGCTGTGAACAAGAATGATGTGTACGAGCCATCCTTACCTAAAATTGCTGGACATGAAATCTAAGATGACGAACAGATCTACCAAGCCGCTGCCACCAATTCCTCAGGAAGCTCCTCAGCCGGCCTCCACAGCTGGCCAGAAGAATGTTTTCCAAGGTTCTGGGAGCGATATCAACAAGATGAGCATTCATTACGTGCTTAACAGATCCGAAATGCAACGCAACCAGGCCGAAACTCCATTTTCTCAGCGAGGACCTTCTCAGCCTGTTACGGAAGCTGGCCAGAAGGCCGGTGTCGATGGCCCTGCGTACTCAAGTGAAAAGATGAAACTGAATCTGCTTTTCAAGGAATGCAAGCAGCAAGGTTACGATGACAAGACTCCATCCATTCAACCCAGAGGATCTGAGCTGGCCCTGCCACTCACTGTACCCTTTTCAGACGACTGCTACAATGCCCAGGTTTCCGATATCAATCAATCCTTTGCTGACCGCCGCTTGGCTCTTGCTGCTCTTTGTCACGACCCTGTGTACGAGGCCCCTTATGCTCAACCCAATTCCAGTCCCCATCGCCATGGTCATAGTCAAAGTTCGTGGTACGAAGCTTCGCCCACTGGTAGCGAATTTACTCCGGATTCTCAGGTTGCAGTAACCCCCAGCGCTAATCCAGTGCCTGGAATCAATCAAGAAAATCAATTCACCGAAGTGCAGCGCCCAACCATCGAGGAACTGATTACCTTGATCAATCGGGAAAAGGAAAACTGCCGCCTTGCACATGGAAATCACAATCCAGGAAGTCCATCATCTGCTTACCATCTCGATCCGCCCAATTCGGCATTTACGAATATCTTCTATGCGGATCCAAATACTGGTTCTGATTTCCCTACTCCTGACTTCGTCATTCGAAATGCTCAGAGTCCTCCATTTGCGAGCCCCGGCACCATTCGTGAACTTACACCTACAACGCCTGTGGGGTTCCCATCCCTGTCTCATGCTCAATCTCCTTGTCCTAAAGGATGTTGCTATTGGTCTGAGGATGAGTTTGATCTCGAAAGTTCTGCATCTTCTAAGCTTCAATTTGACCAGGAACGGTCTGCTTCTGATACGCCGCCGCAAGAGTCACCCGTGTTGCCTTCATCTTCTCCTCTTTTCCCTTCTCTCGAAGAATGTTACATTCGGGATTCGGAAATCCCAAGCGAGAGTGAGATTGGCACCACTATAGCCAGTGTACATCAGCTTGATTGGGACAATACCGCTCCTGACTCGCCTCTACTAGATTCACCTCCATCTCCTATTCGAGCTACTCCTCTTCCTGAGCGCCGTCCCAGTAATCTTCGTGCATGTTCCTATGCTGATGTGTCTCGGGTTGGGATTTCTCCATCTCCCAATATCCCCCACGATCCCCGTCTTACGACAGTTACTTTCCGTCCGGACTGCATGTCATCTCCAACTAGCTACACGAATTGGTTGAGACCAACCGACATGAACAATGTCGACCAGTCTCTTGTCCCACGGCAATTGAATGTGACAAAAAAGAATCCTGCCTTCACCATGAATGTCCCCATCCAAAACGTTTCCCAGCATCAGACAGTTGTTCATGTGTCTGGTTCTTCCAACGGTAGATATAGCCACGCAGCTTCCGTCGTCAGCAATGAGTCCAATATCAACAACCTCTCCAGCAACTCGACTGTGAGTCGTACCAGCCAAAGCCCCGATGCTTCCAGCTCTGGGGGCTCCGAAGACTCTCGTGGAACCAAGCGCAAGCGATTTACCAAGAACCTCTTTGGGAAGAAAGGATACCTTGGAGATAATCAGTTCTCACGCGAGAGGAGATTCAAATTTATCAAAGGGGCCATCGAAAAGGGACATTCAACCATTGGCAGTATCAAGGGAATGGTAAGTGCTTTACGACCCGGCTTTTGAAAAAAATGTTACAGTGACTAACAGTTGTTTTGACAGATCTTGGATGAGAATCGAGCTTTGATCAACCCATCCAAGCCCAGCATTGTCACCGATAACACTGCCCCCATTACTCTGAACACCAACGTGCAGTCAATCTTGTACGCCGAGATCGAGAACACAATCACTCATGCGGCCAACGAATTCCTGATGAAGGAATATTACGATGGCCACCTCTCTGTCAGTTCTCTCAACAGAGTGAAAAGAAGATGGGAACGGAAGAATATGCCTGGTGTCCCTGAATTCCACTTCGACCAAACCACCCAGTACAAGCTTATCAGCGCAAACCGTGAACATCTCAAGTTCGGTAAAGCGACCAACGGCCTGCGGCCGTACGCTGTTCTCCGCAACTGGAAAAAGATCTGCAAGAATATGAGCATCCGCACCTTTGTGGCCCCCGATTCGGTTATCAAGAAACACATCCACGATATCCTCGATCTCCTGGAGATTCTGAACGCCGATGAATGCCACATTGAGCTGATCATAGCCCTTGATGCGCACGTTCGTGGAGAACTGAAGAAGCACGAGGTGATGCAGCACTACCGAGACACTCAGAACTCTAGAAACTCTCGCTCTTAACTTCCATTTCGCACATTTGCACCCGAGCTACGTTTGATTTCTTTTTCACCAATTTTCGTCTGGTTTTCGATTTTCGACGCTTGCTATTCTGTCTCGGCTGTTCTGCTCTACTAGTAGGACTTGGCCGTTATCAGTTTGTGCCAATTTCGCTTTCTGTTTTCGTTTTTCGCTTTTGCTATTCTGTCTTTTTCTGCGTGTGCTTTATCAGTGATGAGCGGACTAATTTAATCTAGCGTAACCCAAATCCAACTCATCCCAAATGAATCCTTTGCTTTTCCTAGTAGATCGACTAGCCCTGGGTATGATGATTTTAGGTACAATGATGTATTTACATATTAAAATAATCTGGGTAAAAGAACATGCTTACATTCATGGTACAGTTTATCGTATGATATCTGCTACTGTATATCAAATTATATATGCCATTTTTGGTGTCGTTTTTGGTCTTCTGGCGCAACGAAATGGACACAAACAAAGCAAGTCAAAAGTAACCATAGGAGATGCCATTGTATATCATGGGATGATAAGACACTAGAATGTCTTTATAGTGGCAGGTTGAAGTGTCTCCAACGGCAAAATTTCAGTCAACATCATAACAGTCCAATAAACCGTAGCGGCAATCTTGGAGATGGCTCCACATAGCGCAGTCCGAATCGAAGCTTCGATATTAGCTTATCTTTGTCAATCAAAACAACCCCAGATATGCCCGTGTCTATCGGAACATCCTACGCGTCCAGGTTGTCTGATGAAGCTAGCACGATGACGAATACGAATACGTTCAATCGCACTTCCCATACTCCAAAAGTCTTCATATTGAAAACGGCACGTATATAAAGACATTTATAATGAGCTTCAGGATCTAAAACCCCAAGAAAATTCATTAGTTAAATCCCGTAAGGCGTAAGAATAGCTGATAACTCTTCCTTTATTAGCATACAGAGCATTATTGAGATTGAATGCATGATCTCCAGTTATATTCCAAGGTTCCCTCAAATCAAAATTCATAATCATAAGTTAATCACTTGTCATCATAATGACCAGTTGACATGGTGTATTTGCGACTTATTCAAGGTTACCATTTACGTTGAGTCTATAGTCCATGGATGTTTTAGATTTGTTGCAGGCATCAAACTTGGACGCCTGATATTTCGGGCCACCGTGTTTTTCCTTGCCGTTTGCCAATGATTGAAGAGCAGTTTTTAAATCGAAATTTAACTAATTCAAAGGGAGAAAGCAAAGGTTGAAGCAAAACACGTGGGGCGACGTCATCGGCTTATAAGATCACGGGTCACCGCTCTGCCTTTTGACCTTGAACCTGTAATCACTTTGGAGTTTCCGACAGTAGACCATAACACTGTTATGTCTGGCCTCCAATGACCGTCGATACATCCCGCATTTAGCCCTCCATATTAGGAGTGGAGATCAGTACCTCAAACACAAGGGGCTCCGTACAAATATCCGAATGGCGGGCCCGATCCACACCTACGGTCCGAGTTGCCTGCTTGTGGATGAAGAGCAGGATCTCACTAAATTTCAATCGCTTCCCTCACCACCAGAGATTAGGTCACAGTTCTTTTATATCTCATCATTGCCGATCGATGATCCACTAGCTGCTCTGCCTCCCCCTGCAAGCCAGGGGACCGGGAATGAGAGACTTCCTCCCACGCCATTCTCGGCCAGGGATAATATTGCGTTAGAGGAAGCTTGGCGTGATCTACGGGAAGCAAAAAAGACTAAATTTGCTGAGAACCAGAGATCCAGGCCGGATACATCGACAAGGCCCCCTGGGATAGCTGTGCCTGGTCACGAATCGGTCTCAAATGTCGAACGCCGTAGGGTAGCCAACCAAGAGGATCCCTCCTTGGTTGGCAGTAGAGGGAGCACCCTGAGCAACCCCCCTTCCTTCCCAGACGAGCTGTCTTCTCGCACTCACAAGAGTCATATCGCTTTTTCTACCGGCAGTACTGGAATACGAGCCCGTGAACTCGGCAAGGAAAATCGCGTGGGCTCCCCACTGGGTGATGGGTTGAAGCATGACTCCGCGAGAGAAAGAGCGCGCTCGTCTTCGGTTAACGAGTCGAGTGCAACTAAAAGAAGAAGCAGTTCTCCATTGGAGGCCGAGAACGTGGGCGAAGGCGACGAAGAGACTGGAAGTCTACGAGCTGATCGTTCTCACAATGCAAGCATGAGTGGCGCTCCTTTTATACGGGCGCCGATATCTCAGCCTCAGACGCCGCTTGGTCGCTCACTTGAGTCATCTTCGTCTAGAGAAGGAGGCGAATGGCAGGCGGAACTTCGAACTAGTACTGCTCCTCGGAATGCTCCGAAACCTTCGGGGCTCAGAACGACTGTGAGTCTAGACCAATTGACTCAGGACTCGCAAAGGGAGAGGACAGATGAGCCAAACACACAAACAAAGATTCCAGTGGGTGTCTCACGGCTTCATCTGGTTGAGTTACCGAATCTCAAGGTCAGTACCATTTCTCTGCTCGGCTCTGTATTTATAATAACGCGCTTTACAGATGAAACCTATCTACTGGAGGCCTCTTCAGGACATATCGAGTGTAGTTCGGGCTACTTGGTTTTACAAGAATACAATGTTGCCTGTTGAAACTGAGCTCGCGAACAAATTGGAGGAAGGCTACGTTTACTTGAAGCCATGGAGCGACACTTGGCAAGATGAATTGAATAGTTGTGTGGAGAACGGGGCCGATGCCGAGTTGAAAATTGTTCACCCGCTGTGGACAAAACAAGACAGTCGGCCTACCACTGCACAAGCGCCACAGAGTAGCGAGCCACCTCTGGATGAGGCAGAGGATCCCTTGATATTCGATGAAAATCGAGCTGCTGGTGGCACCTCTGTCCAATCTGAGAGTATCAAGTCTTACCTCACATCCAGTGCCATCTACGTCGATGCAACAAATGCCCAAATCCTTCGTCCCAGCTTGCTTCCCTCAGTGTCGAGGGGACGACGACCTCTTAATGCAATACGCAAAGGCCGTCAGATAGGCATACCTGTGGTTCGCGGATTTAGTCGAAAATTGTGGGAACAACTACACCCATCAAAGCCTAATCCTATCGATGTGCGCCATTACATCCGCAAGACCCAGTCGAAAAGTCCTTCTAGACAAGGTGAACAAATATGTTATGCATGCAAGATGGAAGAGTCGCGACCGCCTCCAACTGACTTGGTTCTCGTTGTCCATGGAATCGGGCAAAAGCTATCGGAGAGGATGGAAAGCTTCCATTTCACTCACGCCATCAATGCGTTTCGGCGGGAAGTGAATATGGAGCTCAATAACGAACCTGTATGGCCGCACGTACGTCAGGATCATGGGGGAATCATGGTTCTTCCTGTGAATTGGCGCACAAACTTGTCGTTGGATGATCCCGATGTTGAATCGGGTATCGAGGACCCAGCTAGCAACAATTTTTCTCTTGCAGATATCACACCCCAGACTCTTCCTGCTATCCGATCCCTGATCAGCGATGTGATGCTTGACATCCCTTACTATCTGTCACACCACAAACCTAAGATGATCAAGGCGGTGATCAGAGAAGCGAACCGTGTGTATCGCCTCTGGTGTAAAAACAATGCAGGGTTCCAAGACCATGGCCGCGTGCATCTTATTGCTCATTCGCTTGGAAGCGTGATGGCCGTAGACATTCTCAGCAATCAACCAACACATGTTCCTCGGTTTGACTTTTCCAATACGGCATTACACAGCGATATCTTCGAGTTCGATACTAGACATCTCTTCTTGTGCGGAAGCCCAGTCGGCTTCTTTCTGTTTCTTAATAAGGGTACGTTCGAAACTTACATCATTCCGTAATATATCTAACATCCTCGCAGCTAGTCTTCTTCCCCGGAAAGGCAGAGACAAGCCAGGCAGTGAAGGTGACGATTTACTGCGTGGCGTTGCCGGTGAAGAGGGTCAATATGGCTGTCTCGCCGTAGATAATCTCTACAATATCATGCACACAACTGACCGTAAGTGGATTGCATAACCTTCCTATCCTCCTTGCCTCAAATACTAACAAGCCCTTCCAGCAATCGCGTACCGAGTCAATGCAACAGTAGACTCAGACCTCTCCAACTCTCTCAAAATGGGCTCAATCCCTAGCTCCACCTCCACCTTCTGGCAATCCTTCGGTAGCGTCTTCCGCTGGAGTTCAGCCCCGTCAACATTATTGCCCTCCACAGCCCCTACCCGCCCCGCAGCAATCTCCAAACTCCCATCCAATGTCGAGCTTGAAACCCACGACTTCACTCGTGAAGAGATCGCTGAAAAACGCATGATTCTGCTCAACGATAACGGTCAAATAGATTATTATCTTTCGGGTGGTGGTGGCCCGTTGAATATCCAGTATCTCAACATGCTGAGTGCGCATAGCAGCTACTGGACACTGGGTGATTTTGTGCGGTTCTTGGTTATAGAGATTGCGAGAAAGCAGGGGAGAGAAGGGACGCTGCTTGCTTTTCGGGCTGAGAAGAAGAAGGGATGGAAGTATTCAAAGGGGTGATTTTATTTTCGGGCTATCTATGTACTTTATCATAGCTTTGGCTTTGATTTTGTTCTGGAATAGGATAGGAACTTTATGTAAGTGTAATATTCGCATAGAAACGTCTCGTTCCATATTAAAATCACGATGTATTTGTATTTTTATCAAAGATGGAAAATTGCAGATGTTAACCATATATCGTCCGTTCAAAAAGAGGATCGAAAAAATGTGAAGACAAGACAGAAGGCAAGAAATATACAAAGCTCAGAGACAGACAGATAAGAAACCAAAACAAAAGCAGTTTTCAGGAGATTCAATCTCCATATGGGCATAAATCATATATCATATCACATCTCTAGCAAATGACCCGAGTATCCGAGCCATGAACATCCCCCATCAACAATGCCTCCACAATTTCACCTTTGATGCCAACGCCCCGTCCAGCCCGTAGCACCACCAAAGCATTCGCTTTGGCCAAACTACCGACCTTCGAAGAT